ACATTTTAATTCGTATTTACTGTTTCACTTGCTCAAAAACTGTTGGATTGCATTTGAGGCTGCGAAAAGTTTCTGACCCCAATAAACTTCTTCTTGCCGTATAAAAGTTAGCCGCAATTGAAAAAACTCTTTCTGACGGGGCTGGTGTTGCTGTTAGTCCCAAATAATCCTTGGCTAAAGAAGCAAGTCCGGGAAATTCTTCTGATTCCTTCTTCCAATACATTAATGGGTTTTCGTCAAACTGCAAACTAACGAATAGCATTCGAAATCGCAAAATAAGGTAGCCTATTGTTTACAACCACGACTGAAAATCTGTTTGAGTGTCTTAACGGATGCGAAAAGGCACATTGTTACGTCACTTTTTCGCATCTTGCTGATTGGCTAATGTTACGAAATAAAAAAGGAAGTCGATATTCGGAAAACGCCGCTTGGAAAAATATGTTGCCTTTTTTCGTGTTATTGCGGGCCAGATGAAAGGACACCGTTGTTTGGTGGCCCCTGGTCTAATTGATTATTACACAGAATGAAAATGCTTCAATTACATTACAATTACATAAAAAACTTTAATTCATTACATCGATTACAATTGATCCAACTCTGCACAACACCCCTGACAATATTTTCCGGCACACCGGTGTGCCGCGCACCCCGGTTGAAAAACACTGGTCTAGTGACTAGTCTATCTCAGCTTTTCTAGAATATTTTTTGGTCACCGAAGATGAAATTCGAATATCTTAGGATAGTCAGTCAGTAGTTTATTTTATCGCATGCCGAAAGTACGCAACGGCCAAACATAATTAAGAAAAAAAAATACATTTAGGTGAAGGTCGACACGATAAAGTTTAACCAATGATGGATATAGTGCAGCGTCACATATAATTCGGAGGTTTGGCATTTATAGCAAGAAACATATGTTTGATATGTACATGCATGTTTTAGATATTAAAGTTTTTTTTTCGAATTTTTTAGTTTATTTATTTTTTGTGATTTGATTACCAAGATGTAGAAAGGTTCGCTCTTCAGTATGTTCGACCTTCATCGCACGTTCACTCCGGATATTAGAACAGCGTTTCCCAAACTTTTTCGGCCACGGAACACTTACACTTTTTATCTCGCCTCCAACACCAAAATATGTGAACAAAAATAATATCAATCTTTTACACTATAAGGAGAAGCAAATTAAAGATCCACAAAAAATAGCAAACATAGCTGCTGATTTTTATGAAAACCTTTTAACTCCCAAGACAAATACAAAGACAGAGGATATAAAAACATATTTGAACAGTGTACAGGCGACAAAACTTACTGAGGAATAGAACAACAACAAAGTGAAGGTTTATAAACTTTGAAAGAATGCGAGAATGCACTGAAAGAAATGAGATCAAATACCAGCCCGGGGGAAGACGGCTTCACAGTTGAATTTTACAGAGAATTCTGGGAACATCTTAAACAACTTTTGCTTAATTCCTACAATTACTCAGTGACAAATGAGATAATGAGTAATTCACAATCTAGGGGGAATAATAAAGCTGCTACCTAAGCAAGGAAAAAATCTCAACTTCATTGAAAACTACAGACCTATCACCTTATTAAACATTGACTATAAAATTGCATCCAAAAGTATAGCTAATAGACTGAAAAATGTGTTACAAAAATTGATTCACCATGATCAAAAAGGATTTACTAAGGGAAGATATATCGGCGAAAATGTAAGATTTTTTTTTAATGTTAGAGATTTTTTGAAATATAAAGGGCTTCCAGGAATAGCACTCAACTTGGATATAGAAAAAGCTTATGATTCTGTTTCATGGAATTATCTTTTTCAAGTGTTGGAATTTTTTAATTTTGGTCAAATGTTTATTACGTGGGTCAAAACTTTATATATTTAAAGTCAAAGCACTGTTGTTAATAATAATTATAGTTCAAGAATGTTTCAAGTTAAGAAAGATTTGAGGCAAGGTTGTAGTCTCTCACCATATATGTTCTTATTAATAATTGAAATATTTGCATGTAGAATGCAACAAAACCATAACATACAAGGTATATGTCTCGGAAATACAGAAATTAAAATTTCCTTGTTTGCAGATGATGCAACAGTATATTGTGATGGGTCACAAAAAAGTATCAAAACAGTATATTCCGAAACCGATATTTTCTTTACTATGTCTGGGTGCAAAATAAATATGAATGAATGCCAAGCATTATACCTGGGTGCAAATAATATGTGTGGGTGGAAATGATACTGATCTTGTTACTGTGAACCTTTTGCCAAAACTTCAAAAAATGAAAGTGGTTGCACAAATATGGTCCAAAAGAAATCTAGGAAAAATCACTGTTATTAAATCTTTGATGTTGAGCTTATTGGTTTATGTAGTTTCCATCTTACCACTAATACTGCCCAATAGTTTTATAATGAAAGTATATAAGATATGCCATGAATTTTTATGGGGTTCAAAATGGGAGAGAATAAAACGTAAGGCAATAATTGCACCTGTGAAGGAAGGGGGGTCAGTATGCTTAATGTGAAATCATTTTTCATTGGTCAAAAATTAAGATGGGTTAAATGTTTAATAAATGACGAAATTGATGTCTCATGGAAATCCATAGAAATGTTTTTCTTAAATTTGTATGCAGGAAAGCCTCAATTTTATGGAAATGTATATCCGCATGGAGTGTATATCAAAAATATGTATTTCAGATGTTTGAGAGATACTCTGTACTATTGGTTTATTTTCAAATCCAAGATTATTAGGGATGTAAGTCATTTACATGAACCTCTGTGGTTTAATAAAAATATGACTTGCAAAGGAAAACTTTTTTATATGGATGATTGGAATAGTAAAAATATTTGCTTCGTTGAAGATATTTGTGATTCTAATCAGCAACTTGCAATGTTTCCGTATGTTTTTCATCATTATTGTTTTTCTAGTTTCTATGATGACATGCTAGCGTATTTAAAAATTATATCATCATACCCCAGCAATGGAAAACTAATTTATCAAAAACCTCACAAGTCAATCCACATCTTAGTCTGATCGAAGATATTAAAAGCATTGATAAAAACGTCTCGATATATTTATGATAAGCTTTGTAATGAAAAATTTTTGCCACCAACTGAAAAAATGGTCAAAAGAATTGAGCAGGAACTTAGATAATTGGTTGACATTGTATGAAAAAGTTTTTTATTGCTCTATTGAATCCAGACTTCGTTCATTCCATGTCAAATTTGCCTTGTGAGCAGTGCCCACTAATGACCTACTATATAGAATAAGTAAAACACAATGTACATTTTGTAATATGCATGTTTGAACTGTGTTACATTTATTTTATCTCTGTGAATTTGTGCAGCAATTTTGGGAAATAGTTAACTCTTGGCTAATCGTTGAGTATGGATTAAACTTCAATTTGACACATAGAGAAATGTTATTGGGTGTAGGGCAAAACCAGGATATAAACTGTGTTTTATTATGTGCCAGATATTTTATATACAAATGTAAACTGCGTAATGAAAGGCCTCAATTTTTATATATGATAAAAATATAAACTGTGAAAAGACTATTGCAACTAAAAAAGGTAAACTGTCAATCCATAGTAAGAAGTGGAAAACTATTATGTGCTCGTTTTTTTAAAATACAAATGTATTAGTGCTATTGTGTCTATATAAATATATATGTTGTGTGATAATGTGATGTTTTATTAATAAAAAAACAAAACAAAAAAAACACCAAAATATGAAAGGGTATTCCCTTCAGTGGGCAGTCTACCGGTACGCTACGCAGCAACAACAGTAATCAGAACATGCTAATTGCTAATGTCCGTGTAATATGCTGGCTGGACGCCAAGGGGGGACTTTTGACTGACCGGTCGGACGTCGGGACAAGATTTAAAAAAGTGGGACCGTCCCGCCTAAAACGGGACGTATGGTAAGTCCTGTTAAACATACCTAAAATATGATTGAATATTTTACACATTTCATTTATTATAAATGTTTTATTGTTTCTTAACTTGAATGCTGTGTATATGAATCAACAAATTCATTTTACCTTTTTACGTCGTTCACTTTCCATTACATAGTGTTTGTCTCTAATTTTACGTCTAATGGAGATAGACAGGCTTGTCCACGGGACATATTTTTCTGTCCCATTCCCATTCATTCGCAACATAGCAATTATGCCAGTCCCATCTCATGGGATTCCCATTGGAATAAAATTCAATAAAAATTGTTAATTAGGCTACATGCACGAAGAGACATGCAAAACAACAAAATTTACGGACTTTGTTAACATTACATTCACAGCTATTATACATGTGTCAATCAGCCCCTTTAGGAAGTGTATTGTTAATGCTGAATATATTTTGTTCTTTATAACTAACAAGAGAGCTATGCTCAAATATATGGACACGAAATCCATAACAAAATGTTTTACCATCATTTCCCAGAAAATCATACGGTTTTCGTTTCCCATGGGAAATACGAATGTGTGCTGTCCCATCCCATGGGACGTTTCCCATGGGATTCCCATTTCCACGGACAAGCCTGGAGATAGAAGTAGTTGCTACAACTTCGCAAGCCGCAGTTTATTTATCTGCTGCATCGAGTTTAGCGAACATGAATAATTTTTCAGCATTTCATAGTAAAACCAGGCAGAGACGGCGGAAGAAGAGCTGACCATTTGCTTCTATTTTTTAGACCTTTTTGTTTGCCTGTAGTAAAACCAAAAGGATTGCTGCAAACTTGATAATGAACTTAACAGTCAAAAAGCTAGGCCGACGGTTGACGAAAATGCTACTACCCTTACCTTTGATCAGTCCGCGAACGGTCAGTTGGGCGACAACTTCACGATCCCTGGATCGCCATGGCGACCCATTTAGACGTATTTTTGATTTATTTTCCACGGAACACTCGGAAGATGGAAACAAAAAAATATGTACCGTATTTAGAATAAAATGATTCGATTCCAAAATATTATTACGAAAATTCCGTTTGGCATTGGAATTTATTTGGTAAAAAAATACGCTCGCGGAACACAGTTTGGGAAACGCTGCTCCAGAAAAAAAAAACAATCGTTTTGCGCTGAGTACTTGAGTGGTTCCTGCGCGTGCTGTAGCGATGGCGATGGCATCTGGTGAGTGCGCGTTTGCAATTTATTAATTAGTATAAAGTCATTTAGATTCCATAATCATCATTACAGACGACGAAACAATTGATAAAAACAAACAGTCAGGAAGCAAAACAAAACCTAGGTTTAATAAGTTGTCGCCAACATAAGTCAGTAAGTGGTACCGGTACATGTTCACTCACCATAAATAATATCAATTCACAGTTCACACACATACATACAACCACAGAGATGAAATAACATTAAAAAAAATGAGATGTACCGGTAATTAGGATAAATTACTTGATAAAAAACAGAAAAAGAAATGAATGAAAACACTACTGCACTATATTCAGATTTTAATAATGCTATAAACAGTTTTCTTAACTTTACAATCTTAATTTACATTTTCGTATATTTGTACATTGGCAATGCATCCATCTTCTATAAAAACGCAACAAATTTTTATGTATCTCCAATAAAAAAATATTGCTCAGTATGACAACCACGGCCACAAAAAAATTATTGAAATATAAAATTCTGGTTTGTACAAAGTGTTGTGCTATTCTTTTTTGTGTTTTTTCAGTGTTTTCATAACATGAATTCATTTGAAGGTTATTTCCCAATTTTGTATGTGCATGTAAATTTTATTGTGTGCTTCAACTGTTTTTGGTGAATAAGCATGTACTTGTACGTTTTTAACTCTGTCCTTTAAGTTATGCCCGTCTCCCAGGTATCTCTGCATTTTGTTTGTTCGTTTGTTGTTGTTTTGTTTCATGCCAGAGCAACCAAAATAAAATTGATTGAACTTTGTAAGGATTGCAAAATTGAATACCATATTTAATACACAGAAGTGGATAGTAAATTTTTTTTCATTAAAATAGGTTTTTGACAAGCTGCATGCATCCATACCTAAATCCATACCACTAAATTAATGCATCCATACCAAATTGCCCAACTGAAAATTGCCACAAACAAGATGCATAAAGGGGTGGACCAGACCTTCATGAGAATTTACATCTATCTTAGAAAGAGTCATGATAACATTCCTTGCCTATACATGGATTATTTCCGCATTTCAAATTTTAGAGTTATCTATGTTCATTTTTTTCGGTCTTCGGGTGACCAGTAAACAATTTATTTCTATATTTTTTCAGAAGGTCGTTTGAGGGTCTCTGCGAACCCAAGCAACTACTCTCTTGATCATTTATATCCACGAATAAAACAACCTATAACAAGTGCTCCACCGTCGATGAGAAGAAATTATCATTTGAATGTAGGTAACAAATCACTTCAATCAAAAATGAGAAAACTTTCAACAAAAAATTAGTACAACATTTGTAGTGTGACTCCTAAATTCATTAGACCAGGCTAGTCTAATGCGTAAAGAATTTTTTGAAAGTTAGAATCACAACAAAATTGATGGTTTGCTCATAAAATTTCCTTGCGAAAAAATCAGCACATATTTAATTGGCTCAGTATTGGGTTCACCGAATAACGTCTTTCTTCATTTTAGTGGCTGTTTCTCTAAGCTTTTTGCAGGTGAAATTGTCTTGAAAATGAGCTATTTATTTATTGCGAAATGCACACAAAGTAGCAAAATATGGGCGATATTACTAATGTATGAAAGTTTAAGATATGCTATCTAAATATTTGGTTAAACCTTTGTGTTCTATGATAAGTAGGTATATTATGGTATCCTCGAAGTCTACACGAATCTTGTTTGAACCTTCTACGTCTAATGAGAATGATGCAAACTTTTGGAATTTCTCCGTTAAAATATGACACAGTTATATGATATTCCTAAGTTAGAGCTTCTCGAATATTTCCTGTAAATACATTACTTTGAAGCAAATTGACGACGATTTTTTCATTAATTTTTTGACGATAACATATTCATTCATTTGCTTTTGTATTATGCTTTTTATTATTAAATATGATGTATAAAATAACTAATGGTACATGTTGATGTTCAAAACTAGGCATTTTTTATGGAAGCACAGGGGACCACAGATCATGAATTGATTAATGCCATACAAAATTGTAGTGGAAGAAGTACTAGAAAGTTTAGATATTAGAGATACCCAGTGACTATTGGACTTTTGGTGCTCAACGCTATTGCTTTCCCTTTAACTACTATCATGTTTTTGTATGATTTTTAGCATCCTGATCTTTCAAAAGGCCAGAAAAAATATCTATGGAGCATTTGTTCAGCATACAGTACTGCACAGATGAAACGTCTTGTTCAAGACCAATATTTGAAACAATGCTGGTATGAAGCCGAGAAAGGTATGAGATCTTGATATTGTTTTCATTATACATTGGATGAAAGTTGTTGCTAAATAAAGTTGGTTCACAGGTGTTATCACCTGTTACAGTTTATAGCGCAGTACATTGTTCTGATTGTATCTGTGAGGCTCGGCAGTTTGCGCTTCATGCTAGTTGTTGGTACACACTTGCAATTGCACCTCTGATTACCCTGCGATGGTCCACAAGATTGAATCCTGTGGGAGATTTGCTGGCTCTTTTCCTTGCCTTCATAACGTGGTTCAAGCAACTGCTGGATCTGAATAGTTACGGCTTCCTCCACCATCAAGTCCATGCATATGGCACAATAACTGGTTAACTCTTGTACCTGATATATAACCAGATGAGAGGCTGTGGTTCACCATATGTATAACTTACCATATTACCGACATTCCTCTTTTTTGAAAAATGTGAAAATCCTATCCTAAGTATTTAGTGTCTGCATGACTTCCTAGACCTGGGACAGTCAAGATGACTCTTTTTTTTTTTTCACTGGATGTTCCACATCTTGGTTCTGAACAAGGCTCCATACAGCAGGAACCACTGGCTGATATTTGAAGAGCCAAAAAAATGCTGGTACCCATATCGCATTCCTCAAATTTTGCCAAGTATCGATATATTAGTTTATTTATTGTTTAAAAAAACTATGGCATGATGTACAGGGTGTTCATAAAGTCATGAAATTTTTAAATTGGGGAGAGAATTAATCGATACCATATAGTATGTTGCCCCCTATCCGTGTATTAAATGAATTAAGAAAACTTAAACAGACACTGATCAAAACAAAACAGACCTGGTTGAGATATATTGAAAACTGATTTTTCAATAAATTGAAATTGTAACTAGACTCAATGAACACCCTGTATATTTATGCATTATCAATTTTAAAACGAGAATATCGGTCGGAGACCGAAACCTTATCGATCGAAACTGCGGTTTTGAATCATGACTCTATAGTGACCCCGCGTGTCCCATCACTAATTAATTAATAACTCGCTAATTATACGACATAATTCATCCAAAATCAATAGGCTTCTTGTCCGAGATATGATGAATGCTCAAGCAAAATTTGGAGTAGATTCAACCTCGCCTTCTTGAGATATAGCGTTCATCTAACAGACATACAGACAGACAAATACCTATCAACATACTTACCGATCTTAAGATCGATAAGTAATAAATTTAGATGCTATACTGAACTAAAATCCAACTTTTTAACCAGGTATTTTACGAGTGGATGATTTGTACAAATACCTGCGTTACATAGCTGATCCAACAAAGCGGAAAAGACAATTTCAAGAAAACCCAAAAATGTGGCGTGCGAGGAGTGATCAGTATAACTTCAGATATCATCGAGAGCATGTTATCAACCAACCGTTACCTGCTTTACCTATATATGTGGAAAATGAGATTAAAGCACTCACAAGGCAAGATGTCATCATAAAATAAATAGTTCCATTTAAATGTTATCCTAACCTGCGATGCCATCTTAGTTGAACCTAATGGTTTAACAGCTACGCCACCTGAATAATTCATCTGCTCTGAGCATAATTGGAAAGAATTTGAATATGCCAAAACTCCTTATTTTTGCTACTTAGACTTTTGTTTTGACTTGTGACCATTGTAATGATATGTGTGTGTTGCTGATTTACATTTTCTCTTGTTATAGTGTTTAGTTTTTCAATTTTGTGAAATTTTTCTTTAACAGGACAATTAGTATTCCTGTTCAAAGAAGATACGTAACCAAAAATAGAAGAGAAAAAGTAAAACCAAAACCAGGTAAAATAGTAGGTTTGTAAAAACGTTCATGCTCACTTTCAGAAATCATCAATCAGTTTGCTCACAGGATCGGCAGTTAGCATATTTCGCACCATTATGGGAACATACATGTCATCGCATACTTGATCATCTTGTGGGTTTTGCAGTTTTGAATCCGGTGGGGGACGAATATGTGTGAGGGGATGGCTGGACTCTTCGTTGTTGTAGGGTGGTTCATGTACCCAACTGCTGGTCAGTTACGGCTTCGACCACAAACAAGTCCATGCATCTGCAACAAATACTGGTTACCTATACCCATATCCAACATGGACTGGTAACTGAAGCAAAGACTCATCATATGATTGAGTAATCTTATCATCTTTCTACTCTTCCATGATAAATGTGATGAGGATAAATCTCATTCCCTATTGCATACTTCACTCAAACTTGCCCGTCCTTAAAATGTACAATTCAGAGGTTCTTTTTATCTTCAAAATAATTTTGATCCTTTCCGTATTTTCCTTTATAGCTTAGGTCACGTTCGGATTTGAAAATTTATGAGATGTAATATGTTTGTATTAGCCATCAATTTTTTGTTGTGAAGAAAAAACTTTTTTCAAAGCTGATCCTGATTCAATGAAACTCAAAATCTGTCCCTTAATTTGAAAGATTTTCATTGCAGTTTTGTTTGTTATGATGATTTTTAGAAGCTTTATATTCAAGTTTATATAAGAAAAACATGTTCCACCATCAAATAACATAGTAATGTGCTTAATAATCCTTTTAAACTTGACCAAAATTTGTGGTATATACTAGCAATGTATAATAGTAACTTGACTAACATGCCTTTTTCATTTTAGAAACATTTCCACAGAGTAACAGGGAGAAACATGCACGATTCGTACTTCCACCTGACAACCCAAAAAAAAAATGGAATTGAACCAATCTTGTAGAATTGAAATTGCCTTTTTATTTACATGTTTGCATATATCATGTCTTTCACTGTGTAGCTGTTTTACCTATTGAAATATTTTCAAATTGCTTTTGATGTTACCTTATAAATATATGTCATTTTTCTTATATATTTATTGCAAACACTGGGTGTCATGAGAGGGGTTTGAATCGCTGCACTAAACAAATTTCGTTGACAATAATACATTATACCTATTACGCCGGTCCTGATCACAGTTGGATTCTCTGCTTCGCGGTGCTTGTTGTATTCGGTGATATGTTTGGAATTGTTGTGCTACCAGCAATGAAATAACAATATTATAGAGAAATGAAATGCAAACATTTCCAAATCAAAGAATATTTTGTCTTGTAGAAATGTATGTTCAACCACAAAACGCGGGAAATCTTTTTTGTGTGATAAATATAGGGATGAAAAACAGGCCTTCCATATCACTATCAGAACGTAGCATGAAATTGTTGAAAGAAATATACCTGTAATTCTATAATTGATTAATAATAATATTACATATTTTAAAATGCTGACCAAACTACTGCAGTTTGGAAGTACTGGTACAGAGGTACCGTAACTTACAGAACACAAGCAGTTGCAGACAAATATTTTCTTCAGTTGTTGTGGTTGGGTGACAGGAAGTACAGATTATATATTTAATAGGGCTTTAATACTGTATGGGAGTACATGTATGAGGTGAAGTGTATTTGAAGGTTATTGATTGAATTGAGATTACGTGCTTTATCTTACTGCTGTACTGTCTTATGTGATAAATGCATGTGATAAATGTTTGGGCTTTCATAAATGCACTTGTTCCAAAAAAAAAAAAATTGCCCTTTGAAAGAGTATGGTTAGCAACTTTCGACATCCATACATCAGTTTAGAGAAGCAAATGAAGCCTATAATAATTTTAAATTTAATTTGGAAATGGCCTATTTAATGTTACTTTATTGCTTTAGCAGTTGGTTGGAGGTAGTACTGTAACAAATGAGACATGACCTGCCGGACCACCCTTAAATAATATTTGATTGCAATATCGGAATATTGCCGTTATTTGTATAAATGTTACTTCGGTACCTCATACCATAATTTAGAACATTTTCCATATGGATACAGTTTTGATTGATTTGGCTTTAGGGTTAGATAAAAAAAAAAGTAGCTAAAATTTTGCATGATGACCTAGAATCCGTACATAACCTTGTAAATATACCGGAAATAGCACCATAAAATCATGGCGAAAGGTTCTTTCGTGGCAGGAGGTGGTAATAACCGCGTCTCCTGTTTTGTGCTGTTTCCTTCTGTTTCGCGCTGTATTCAGTAACTAGTAAGACCCGAAAATAAGTTTTTATTATTTGAATATGGGAAGTAAGTGATAATGTTCAAAGACTGCTTATTTGAGGGGTACCAACCATATTCCATTGTGTTACTTATAATGCACAATAAAATAATAAAATACTGCAAAACTATAATATCTTACGTCTGACCTAAACAGCCAAAACTTTGGTGCAATGGATGCAGAATCTTAGTAATAAAATTCATCTCAAACTCAGAGGTTGAACATGTACACTTGTTTTCGTTCATTTTATTTACATGTCTTGAATTGGATAAACATATTACTTCTAAGGTTTCTTCTTTTCCCAATTTTGACCCTGTCTATGCATCTTGAGTGTTGAACTGATTACCTGATACTGTTTATTAACTCAGATGATCTATCTATTATATTATTCCCCCATTTTATCAGATTTTTTTATCCCTCAACATGATTCTGAAATCTCATCTCAGCATTGATTTTAGGGCCCAGTTTAAATTTAAATATTGCTGGTATTATAATTCATTATCAGAGTGATTTACATACATACATTTTTTTCATGATATGTTTTTGACGTGGTATTTTGCATTTTACAAGTGAAGGGATTAAAGTTAAACCATGCAGCACAAAGAGATTGATAATGCATTGGTAAAACCCTTGTCATTTTAGTTTTTTGCGAAATTTATGAGCATGCAAATCCGCTTTTTTGTGAAATGTTTATTGTTGTTTCTGAAAGCTGAAGTTTCCAATCACTTTTTTCGGAAAATAGATAAAATTTTCTGGACATTTTCAATCTATTATCATCACTGGCTTGATGTCGACCTTAATTTGACGATTTCAACTGAATACGGTTAGGAACAGGAAAGACAAAATATACTTAGTTTATAAGTAACCATGAATTCCCATGAGGAGACAGGTATTGAGAACCATTGCCATCCTTGTTAAATAATCGTACATCATATCTTTGTTTCAACTGATTTATTAATTATTCATAATTTCCAAGAAGAATATGATGAAAAACAAATGTATGGATATAAATAGTACACATTACAGATTGACATTTACTACTTAAGAATGATGCAATCAGGTCTTGGTAAGCAGTGAAAGCATAGGATGAAAGCAGAAATAATGCTAATAAACTGCAAAAGTTACTTTACGACATATGTATTTTTTTGAATATACTCAAATCATAGGTCTTCATAAGAATTTGGTCTGTAAGTCTGCGTCTACTACCTTGGAATTGAATAGGGGGGAATTGAATGGGGAGCAAAAAAAAAAGATAAGTTGACCGATCCAGTCTTTCATGGTGATGATTAAAATGAAAAATCAGTTGTTTTTGTTCATTAATTGTCCAAGTAGGATTTATTCTTTTCTCCTATGATATCACAATTAAGAAATGTAATTTTCTATTTTGAAGGTATTACCTAACACCGGTAAATAAAATAAGCCTCAAGGTGTTGTTGACATTGGTTTGTATAAGATAAAAAGTGCAAGTCAACATAAAATAGTTTGAAAATAGATTACCTAACAGAATGAATTGATTTTTTTGATTCACGTAAGCAAGTCATATCATAATTTCGAATTTTTCATTTGAAGCGTAATCCAAACAATTAGACATATTGATTGTGAGTGTAAACAAAATTTGGTATGCAGTCATTATGGGCATTTTAAACTGTTGCCACTATACTTCGTACATAAATTGTAATGATCAAGTCACCTTGTAAAATTTGTGCAACATGGCTGCACTAGAAACAAGGTGCACTGGACAGGAGAAGTTCAATTCAGTTTGCACCTGGCGATTGTTATTAAACTTATATTAAATGACAAATATAAAAATCCTTATTTTCAAAATCTAATTGAATGTTAAAATTTGCTACATGTGAAAAAGTTTAAATTTAGTTTGTTGCCTGAGGGTGTTTTTTAAAGAGAACTGTAAGCAAGTTTTGGTTTTTTGTAGTTACCTCATGAAAATAATCTTTTGAGACACTTTGTTATAATTGTTACTTTCTGTAATTTCACATTTCTTCAATTTTTTTTATTTGAAAAAGAAGTGTATGTTTTTTTTTTAATTTGCTGAATTCCTTGCAAATTAGATTTTTCGAAATGTTTATTCCTTCTTAATTATTAGTCTTTGAATTTATGATAATTACATTTATTGTATAATTTGACTTCACTTTTAGTATGAGTTATATTATAACTAACGGTAGCTATTATCTATCAAGGGTAAAGTTGACTATTTGTAAGGTATTCAGTCTTAGTAGATTTGAGCGTCCTTTTTTTGTATTCATCCTGTATAGCTCGCAATTTTTTTTTAAAAAGTACAATTTATCAATTACTTTTTGTAGATGAATGAAACTGGATTACAGAATACATCTTGAGAATGTGTTTGCTAAATTTGCCCAGAATCCCATTTTGTGTCACTTTTTTTCGGGCTACTTGTTAATTGTGTAAACGATTAATAACGGTTGATTGATCAATTGCTTCTGCACCACAAAGAATTTAGTTCCCATGGAAATTCATACACCTATTTTCTCCATATTGATTTCTTCTTCAAATCGAATTTGTTTTGCTAATTGCTCATTTGTGATTTGACCTTGTGTTGCACACTTAGTCTGTGTAAACAGATGTTATTCTAATTCCCATAAGGGATGGAAATGTGGATTAATTTTAGAGTCACAATTTTGTATGTCGAGATAGAGAGAAAGCTAGATCTTATCTGATATAGGGTCTAGTTTGGGCGCTTCAGAAGTATGTGTACTGTACCAATATGGAGGTAACTAATTTTGTTTGTCTATTTTACATCAAGTGCATAAAGGGACTGAAACCTATGGGCAGGGGGTATATTCACTCGGCTAACACAGACATCTCTGAACTTGTAATTGAACTAAAATAAGGAAAATCGGAATAAAATTAGGGCCTAACCCTAACCTGTGGTACACACACAAGGAAGGTACCCTAGTTAGGACTCAGGAACCATTTTATTGAAAAATGATTTTAAAGTTTGATGAATTATCAGGAATTCATAGAAACGACATTACATCTGTTTCAATAAGTTTCTTATTGTGCTGCTAAGGTGATACATGTAGTCACCCGTAGAGTCAATTTTTGATTAATAATTGTGGCGAAACAATTCATTCATACATGACCAAATTTGTTAACTTGATGTACAGTACATTACTGAGGTAGAAAGAAAGCATTACTTAGAATTCGTAACCTTGGTTGAGCTCAATTAAGTAATTTTAAAAGTAATTTAGTCATGGTTTTGTAATTGATTGCAGATTTCAATTCAAGTTACAGTAGCGATTACCAAAGTGCTTTCGTTTATTGGTAATTGATATAAAAAATTGATTGATCCTCTCTTTCTCTCTCTCTCACACAAACTTTATTACTTCTATTCCCATGGTTTATTTGAAATTGTTAATTCATTTTCCAGTGTTAGAAGAAAAAATAGCGATGACATAGATTGTTGGAAGTCTTTGTAAGTTGCATCAGTCAAGTTAACACGTTCTAACTTCATGTAACAAATTGCGCAAGAGCAAAAAGAACGAATCGACATTTTCCAAGATGGATCACGAGGATGTCAACAATCTAAGACTGCATAGAGACAGACAAGAAACTTGGGAAACTTATCGGTCTCGTTTGAATAGTACATCTCCAGTCAGATGTATTAAAAATTGTGTAAAATCCAACATGAATATAACAAATTTTAAAGTTCAACGAAGAAGAAAACAAACTCTATTGATAAGAATCATTTTCATTGCTACAATACTTGGGACAGCGTTCGTGTTCTCTCAGTTTAAAAATCATGGTAAGTAGAACTTTGAATTATTTATTTATTAATTTTACTATACCTTTCATGTACATTGTATTCAAATAAGAGAAATTCGATTTCTTTATTTATCATTTTAGAAACAGGATTGCAGACGCTCGCTTTTGCGCACATTAAAGTAAAAAAATTTAATCGAATATAGCTAGGAAAAGAGGTAGCCTACTGTACTTGCTCATATTGACAGAACTTTGATATCCACGTATAAGTTTATTTTGATTCCATAATCAGAGTAACAGAAATGAAATAATCAATAAATAATAAAAACTGATTACAGAATCAGGAGAGCAAACAGAACGTTAATTAAGGTTTTAAGTGTACAAAATTTAAATTAAAAATGGTTGCCAAAGGAAGTCGTACATCTTCACTTATCTAAAACTCACATGTGGGTATGTATGCTCGTGGTGACAGCAATTTGATTTGCTATGAGGTATAAACTTGTGTTGAAGACACAAAACTAAAGTACTGTAATTGATTCAATGCTTCAATGTGACTGTATGTTTTTTGAGAAAGTAATAATTGTCGAGCTAAGCCTTTATGAATTGGTGAATAATTTGCATCTCAGTGGAAATTTTCATTGGCATACATTCTCTTTCTGAGGGCATGTTTCCATTGAATAATTGTATATTTGTTTATGAATTGTATTTTTGGACTTTTGGACTTGTTTTGTTAAATTGTTGTTCTTCTTGCTGTGATAATTTAATGGATTACAGATTCACAGATTGACTTACCAATGTAGATAGTAGGCGAGAACTTTCATCATTTTTTTTCAAATTTCCAATGGAAAGTCCTATGGAACCAGATGTTTCACCCAAATTTTTGTCGTTCTATTTTAAAAATTAGGAACACTTTTTATGATGTATGGGAACACTTTATTCGGTCACGTTTATCCCATGATCATTTCAGAAAACTCGGGTCTCAGCTAAGGAATCAGGATACCGGTATTTAGGTTTCGCAAGTATATCCTATTCAGGCGGCGTTTTCCACGTGCTTTCTTTGTAACTACATTATAATTAGCCCGTAACTTTACTCTCTCGCACGGTTATCATCGCCTAGACTCCTGTGTTTTGTCATTCACAATCTTAAATCTCTAAAAATAGGGCTATTTGATATCTGCGCATTGTCTCCACTGGCGCAGACGACGCATAGTCATCTTTACCTCTGACGTAAGTTATGAAATTTTATCCCCGTTAACGAACTCACGGAGGTTAATATTTATGTAGTCCTTTGTTTTGATATTGCGGAAGCAAGATAGTTCAGCCCGCCAGAAAACGTGTCCATCCAGGGGTTAGGGGAACTGAAATTATTCTTGGCATTCTTGTGACGCACTTATGTTGTAAGACTTGCCGAAGCGTTCCATGAACGTTTTTGTATAACTTATTCGACAAACCCATTTTTAGGTGAATTTTTTTTATTCTTCATTTTTTGTCGTTCTCGTGCCCTCCCGTTTTTATATTTCTAATTTTTCACGCCTTAATGACACATCGCATCACAATGAATCGCTTTTTATATAATTTTCAAACGTTTTATGAGAAGCAATTTGAACGTACCCACCTTGCCATGGTCGTAAAATAAATTTAGTACTTTTATAGCTATACGTGGCGATAGCTTTCTCGTTTGAACGACAAAGAATTGGGCAATCCATTTTAAAAGATTATTGTAGATTTGAATTAGACATTTTTCTTCTACCAAATTAGGGCCTGTCTGTGTTCTATGGTTGCCAACCCAAATCCAAATTCAATATCTTTTTGTAACTGTCATATAAGCATTCTGATATTGTATAGAATGCGAATCCAAATGGTACTTAGTAATGGGGTCAATTAGGGATAAATATGGTCTGTCGGAGTTCCTTAAACTGGGTGAGAAATCCAGAGTAGTCACCAGGCATTAGTAATATTCCATTTTTGGATTAATCAATTTTCATATTACTCATGCGAAAGACAAAGATCAATTTTTCGGGTGCATTATTTTCAAAACATTATGTGCTGTTGTAATGTTTCATTACAATCATTACAATGTCTCAATCATTAGCAAGAGTCAATCGCAACATCATCATTATTGAACAGCTTCATTTTTGAACTTCAAAACTAGTCTGCTATTCTCCCTAAAGCGCTATCTTCGAATTTTTATAAGTTTCTTTCAAAAACGTCGATGTCTCTAAGAAACACCGTAGATTACATACTTTCGTGTCCATCCAATCCATTTTTCAATCCACAAATTACATTTTTAAGTAGGCTTAGCCAGTGACTTAGGGGCGGATTTTACTAAGTTCACGTGCTGACTTTATGGGATATTGATTATCCCAATTGAATCACAGTCGAGCGCTATGGTACTGCGCGATAAAATGAACAAATCGAATGCACAAAATGAATTTCCCGTTATCAAATCTCTTCTAGATAAGCAGGGATGGCCATTTCCGAATACTAAACTATTCCGAATACATTCTAAAATAATGTTTTCGAATCTGGAATTCCGAATACATTCTAAAATCGAAAATAACACATTTTTGTCCAGTTTATTAAAACCCAGTAAATTAGGAAATAAGCTTCAAAAAAAATATCAGAATAAAGCCACAAACCAACAATATATATACACAAGATAATTGATAGTTTATAGCTATCAATAAAAAATAATAGCAACTTGTGACACAGTCAGTTTATTAAAATTATTCACTTTGTACAAATGACCATATGAAAAGATAGCCAAGGAGTTGTCTGACGCTTTCTATCATTGGTACCATGATATTATGATAATAGTCATGTCTGTTGACAAAAATACTACTTGTATTTAGATAATTGTGTATATTTTGTGAGAGTAATAAAATTTATTGGCAATACAGGCAACTGAAACAAGCAACAACAATCGAAAATCCATTATGCCTTAAAAAATTCTATTATTTAAGCATAGAGTATTCTACTACCTACCAGTATATATATTTGTATATTAATTTATGTGACCCATATTGTCATTATGTGTAACATATTGTGTTTGAAATTAGAAATAAATTAGTAGAGGATAAATGACCACCACTGCCAGCCGCGCAGCCAGGATTTTCGAAATCGGAAATTCCCATTGCCGCCTGTAACACCCAAAGTGACTCTAGTAAAACCCACCGCGATTCCGCGCTTGTTAATTAAAAGAGCCGTCTTTTCAGCGTATAATGATCATCCTGTTACGTAAAATATTCAGTCCATGACAACTACGAGTTTCTAAAATATCTTTATCTATTAATTTAATGTGTCCAACGTAACTCGCGGTTGCTTCTTACGTCCAAAAAAAACATTACTATTCGGTCCACGGCGATCTGTGACCTGAAAGTACGAGATAAACTGCCTGATGTATTTAATTTTAATACGTATTTTTGCAATCTTGCCAACTCGTTATCGCCATTAGAAAAATCTCCGTTAAGTGCAGAGTATAATTCATTTCATACAATGAATATAAATATAAAGTTTAGCAGTAAATTGAAAATACCTATTCATCGCCGCGATTATGCCATCTGTTAAAAGAGTCAACTTTTACAACAAATAATATAACAATATATTTTTCCTTTGTGCGAAGTGATGAATTCGTGACCGATACGGGCATATTTAAAATGTCTTGCCTTATTATTAATTTAATTGTCTTCAATTTAACCTGCGGTTGCGTCGACAAAATAAAATCCTCACCACTCTTATATACAAAAATTATATATAAAAATAAAAACGTGTGGTAAACTGCCCGATTAAATAATGTTCTGATCCGTATTTTTCGAATTCGGCAAATATTTAGATGTACTTGTTAACAGTACATCTAAACCAGGCACACGATATTCTGCGATTTTCATTGCCAAGAAAAGCGTTTTTTAAATTTTCGCGGGCTTCAATAAAACTTAATTGTTTACGGTTTTATTTTCAGTATTTTAAGTTGCAGCTTTTCAATCAAAAAGTTGCGTTGTTTTTAGAAACTCGCCGCCGATGAACGTATTTACCAGATTCACAATTTCGTGCACGTACAAAAATAAAATAATTGTCTTCGTTATCGTGGAACAAATTTGTGGAAAATTTTCGTTTTAGAGAAAATAACACAAACGTAAAGGCGTTTACGGCCTAAATAACACGTTACGCTGATGAGTGATGAAAACAATCACGCGCAAGTTTTTATCGAGAATGTTTTCATTCAACGAAAACGTCTTGAGAGCGGCGTCGAAAATGTGTGACGTCACACAAATATCCGATATTCTTATGAACGCTAATTCCGATATTCGAATGACGAGATATTCGAATACATTCGAATACTTTATTCGAATTGGCCATCCCTGTAGATAAGGTTTGAAAATTTGAAAGCCGTCCTATGTCCTGACTATCCTTGTTTTATGTCGTACTTCCGAGGGGGTGTTCAAAATCAAGATTCAGTGTTCTTCACGTATAGATTGCCACGCAGACCATTGCTAAAACCTTGTTAATCTAATTTATGTTTATTGGACAGGAAGTGGACGTATGTAATTTTTTATGTTATCTTTGTCGTTTTTGAGTAATTGTTGTTTGGGAAAAAATCGCCGTTCTCCGAAACTAACAGACCAGCAATTTTAAATTTTTAATACTTAAGATGGAAGAAGACATATATATATATATATATATCGTGCTTGGCCTCCTTTGCTACTTTTGACCGTCGATCCTTCAGCGAACTCGTTGCTCACAGCCGTCACAGGCATATCGATGCCGCTGCCTGCGTATTTTTCTCGACACCGTTGGTATTTTTGGCATCAAATTTCTACTTCCATCTCTTGGTAAATTGTTCTTGTGGACTTTTTATCTGTGTGAATGTGAACTCGATTGCCTCATTATACGATTGCGCTGATCCTTTTATCAGGACAGATAAATAGGCGTAATTATAGGTTTAAGAGAGAGAGAAGCAAAATCCATGCATTTTTAAAATATTGGATTAATAGAGATTTTGTGAGGCGCAAATTTTTATATCGACCTGGATACAGACAGACGTGA